TACTTTCCTACCCAATCGACTCGCTGAGATGCGGCCACCACTTCTCCCCGCGAGAGCAGAGACCCTTTTGGATAATATGCTTCTTGGAATTGTGCGCGGGACGCTGTAACCCAAATAAATGGATGCAAAAAAATTCGTGTGTCTTTGGCAAAGTGTCGCAATGCCTCGCGACTCGATTTTTGCAATTGCATTTACTACTTTTTTATTCGTTACCGGCCTTAGTATTTTGGAAAATTTACTTTTTTTTTTCTTTTTCTTTTTTTTAAGCGAGGGACAGCATTTTATTCCATAGGAATATTTTTAATTTTTGTACGGGTATAAGTAAATTATTTTTAAGCTTGAAGAGTCACTACAAGCAAGCTATTCCAGATGTACACTTACATGGTTAGAAATATTAACTGCCACATGGTAGAAACGAAGAGCGGATAATTTCATGTTGCCTACTACGTACAAGTACAATTTTCATTAATTTCATGAACAATCGTAAATATTTTTGCTCTTTATTTAAAGATCGTTTTTACCTCAAAATTCATATATTACGATAAAAATATATATATTTTCAAATTTTATTTCTCACGCCTTTATATTTATTTTGATTTTTAAATGAAGCGATGGTACAAGTAAAGAAATTAGTCCCCGTAAGCAGTTGAAAAATTTTATATCAAACCAATACGTTAAGATCATATTTTTTAGCTCCTATTCCATTAATATTTCTAATGTAATTTCTAATTAAGACACATAAATCGTAAGCATTAAAATAACATTGATAGCAAGGGGTGAAACGTGAAAAAAAAATAATATGTTTTTACATATAATTTTTAATATTATAAAATATACTTTACTCTAAAAATTGCAATATTTTAATGTCGGGTAATTATTTTTCTAATTTATTTTGTGAACCGATTGTTATTTAATAACAAATTTGATATTAACAATAAGGAATAGAAATTAATAGAACTTACAATTGCGAACCATTTTTTTTTCTTCTAACCGAATTTCCAATAGTTACACGTTACACGTAATGGTCATGATGAAATTCGAGAAAAATAATGAGCCATACTAACACAATCCATCTGTGGGTGTACCAGATTCAGTTTTTTATATTCTTAAATAGTCGCCGAGATGAAGACTTGTGTTTATAAAAGCTGTTATTTTAATTCTCTAATATAAGTATTGCATCTTCTAAATTTAGAACTAAATCGTTAACATTAAAGTTGTTTTCAAAACATTCGATATTTAATTTAAATATCTATTATTTTTTCTTACTAATAAAATAATTAGTTTATGCAATAAAGTAAACAAAATAAAATCAGTTACTTTTACAGATTTCAAATTTTATGCACTGCAAAGTTCAGTAATTTTTCATTGTGTACACTATACTCATTTTTCATTACATTTGATAAAAAAAGACTTAAGGAGGATGTTTAATTAGTGTCGTAAATTTACTCTTATATAAACAATTAATTAATGCATCAACTTAAATGCAGTATAAAAACATTAAGTAAAGTAAAATACTTATTTACTTTATTATAATAGTTAGCAGTTATATAATATATTTTATCGCATGACTTATAATTAAATAATTTTGATATTTCTTGGTCTTAATTTAATACACATAGTATAAAAATTCATATTAATTTGTATATGATTTTTTTTTTTAATTTAAAAGTATAATCAAAATTTTTTAGTAAATAATTGATTAATGTAAAGAGAGACAAATTAGTATTAGAAAAGTATAATAACTGTATAAAGTATAATAATAATTGAAATAATTATTTAATAAATTTCATTATTTAAATAAGTAATTGATAATTTATATTTTACAAAACATGCGATATATTATATGCAAATATTCAACTGACTATTTGAAAAACAATATCTAGAATGCATATCAATTCATAAATAAATAAATATTATTATAATACACTTATGTATAAAGAACTTATTATACTTATGTAACATATTTATAAAAAAAAAAAATTCATTTATTTAAAGAATTTTAAAAATTTCAATGCAAATCTATTCATATAAAACTTAAAAAAATATACTTACATTATAAAAATCTCAGGTTTACATTTCTTCAAAATAATTATAAGTAATAATATTCTTGGCCTTTATGTATCATTACATCATTTTTACACATTACTGCATTTTATGAAAAAAATTTATACGCAATATATTAAATTGATATAAATTTCAATGTAACAAACACAAATATTTTATAATAAAATATGCCATATATTTGTTTTAGGGTTAATAAGTGGCTAATGTAAAATTATTAAAAGCATCATTTCTCTTTTAATTTAACTACTGCTTATCTATTTATATAATTACATTGATGAAATATTTACAAATATTATTTGAATTTTTAGAAAGTTTAGAAATAATTTTTTTCAACACAAAAATGCTAAAGCAAAAATACGTGTATTAAACATTTATAATTTATAATTTGCATAATTTCATATTGTTATGTTAAATTAAAAGTTCTGTAACTTTTGCATAAATCCAATGGGTTAATATTTATTTAGGAATAAATTTATTTTATTTCTATACTTTCAGTTTAGATAAATTTTTAATTTTTGTTTTACTTTTAATATTAAATTCATTTCCATAATTTTACTATTATTTTCACTGTTCAATATATACGACTTAAATATATTTTCGTCAAATAACTTTAAAATGGATTGAATGAACATAGATCTATGACGACAATATCTGACTTTTAATTAAAACAAAAATTTTGGGTAAAAACGAAAACGTTATTCTATCGTACAATAATATTATTATTGCAAATGATTATAAATAAATATTATTGCAATAGAATAATTTTTATTCTATTATTATTTATTAGTGGAGAATATTTCGACGTGCGAACTCTATATGAATGCGTTTCAGCAACACCACATTTTTTTCAAATTGATTTTATATTTATTGCTTCATACTTAATTGAAAAGTATTTTCTAAATTATTTGAGCTGAAAATCAATGTATAAATAGTTATTTTTATCTCTTTATAGTTGAACAAAAATGAAAGAATGAATACTTTCTATATGTATTTGTAATCAATTATAAAAAAATAATGTATATAATAAACCAAGCAAATATATAATAAAAGTCTATGTAATATACGTATAAAATAAGTGCATATAATTTATTAAAATATACATATAATATGTTTTTCTTTTTCATTTTATATATAGACATAATACAATTTCATTGATTTATGTTTTTGTCCTCGTTGAAGTAAACAGAATCATATAATTTTTAATTGGACAAATATAATAACGATTCATTAAACTAAATATTTGTAAGCAAAGATAGCCTGATAGTATTTTAAATATATTTTAGTGTATATACCAATATAAAATCTTCGGAAAATTATTTCATAAAAAGTATAATACTTAAGAGTATTTATAATCGAAGACCTACATTACGTTAATAGTAGCTTATATAATTGTTTCACACTAAAATATATTCAATGAAATCAGTTACTTAATAAAAATAATTAATTTCACCTATTATTTATCATTTCAAAGTAATATAATTAAAAATATTTACGATAAGCTCGTTTCATTACGAGGCATAAATATTGCAAATAACTATTTCTAAACCGTATAATGAAATAATAAGGTTATATGTTCATTGCATTTTTCGTACAGAAAAATTAAAAAATAATAAAGATTTATTTTATTTTAAAAATTGTCAAAAGATATAGAAGATTGATAGAAAATAGAAATAGAAAATAGCTAAAGCTGTCTTACAAAATCATAATCTTTCTTCCCTATAAAAAATGTTTTTAATTAATTATCGATTAATGTTAACGATTGAAAAACAATATTTTGCTTGTTAAATGCTTATAATATAATATTATTTTTAACATTGTTCAGAAATTAATAAATTAAAGGAATATTTTATTTAAATTATATTATAATTTAAGATGTCAGATGTATTTTTATCTTAAGTCAAGTGATTTCATATGTTTTCATGGAAATCTTTACATCTGCAAATATACTCATTAATACATTGAAACGTTACATGTTTAAATTATAACACTGAAATGACTGTTGAATTAAATACAAATGTTGTGACGACTAAAAAAGTACTAACTACTCATTTAATCATAAATAATTGGTAAACTTGAAATAATTTTTACACGAGCTAAAATTCCAATCTAACATTTCCTGAACATTAAATTTAGAAGTGAATGTAAATTAAAAAATTTAAATGAATAAAAAAGACAGATATATGTGTTAATGATGAATTTATGTACAAAATTATTAAAATGAAATTAATAAATTGAATTTTACCTATTTGCACTTGAAAATCTTCCCAATTAATATTTATGAGTTTGAACATGTGCGCAATTGAAAGAGGTAAAATTACAGTTAAAATTTTTATTATTAAATGATTCATTAATTTAATTCCCGTGTTAATTAATTCGTTCTTATCACTTATATCAAATTTATTATTTATTTTAAATAAACGTCTTGGGAGGAACGTTAGGAAAATTCGTACATGAATATGAAATATGTGCAGCATTGAATTCTTATATTAGTGAAATAAGTAGTCAATATTCAATGAAATTTATTTTTAAATCATGGAATAAAATCATAAAATTGTATTTTGATGAATATTTTATGCCGCTAATGTGTCATCGTACCATAAAAATAAATGCCAATAAATAAGTCATATTAGAAAATTCGTTGATATAAATAAAGTAAAATTAGATTATATGAATTATTAATTTAATGACTTTAAAATTTAACATTATTAAATGTAGATAAGTGCAATGTTGTATAATTAAAAAGAGAAATAATTGTGATAGAAATGTATCTGGAACATATTTAGAGCACAATAATCACATAGGTACAAATTCAATAAAAGAAATATAAATATGTCTATAGGTATAAATAAAAAATTAATAAAAGAAATTATAAATGTCTAGATGCGTATATATGCGTATGTATATTGTTTAATTGTATTGCTATTATTTTTATACAGATTACAAAAAATTTGCCAAAATGGTTGACGGCGAAGCAAGTATTCACAACATAATGGGTGGTATGGAGAGCACTGGCGGTGTGCGTCTTCATAACCACAAAAGAAAATTAAAACAAAGGTAAGTTATTTCTATATTTATGTAAAAATCAATATGGGTCACACCGGCCAAGCAATTCTTTGCCGATGACTAATAACTAAAAGTATAGTAGCAAAAACAATTGACCCTGAGATTATTAGTAATTTAAGTTTAAAGTTTTTCGAAAGAACTTCGTTATTTTTTATTGAATTAGTTATTTGAAATTAAATTGCTATTAATTCATGAGATATGCGCTTAACTAATTCGATCTATTTAACAAGTGGTAGATGGCACGTGCTTTATTATAATTGAAAAAGTACTTTTTAAATGCTAAGTTATCCAAGTGTGCAGCATATGTAAATCAATTAAGTTGGCTTAAGCCACTAAATTCGTTTAAATCAAGCGCAGCATCACTGCTTTTCGATTGAGTACGATGCACTATTTAATTAAAAAATCCCGTTAATGCGAGCTATTCGTCCACTAAGCTGACTGCCAAAACCTACTAATAGAGATACTTTATTATTACTGACAACAATGCGGCAACCTTTTATTTAATTTACGTATTACGAATAAATTCATTGTACTTGTGAATCTTACAATTTGAAGAAATTCAAGCATATCGGTAAATTATTCTTATTCTCATTTATGCAAAATGCGTACCTTAACTCCGATTAACATTTTTTGCTTTCTTTTCAAGGTTTGACATAATAAAGAAACTGGGTCAAGGCACTTACGGCAAAGTACAATTGGGAATTAATAAGGAAACGGGTCAAGAGGTGGCGATAAAGACGATAAAGAAATGCAAAATTGAAACGGAGGCTGATCTTATCAGGATAAGAAGGGAAATACAAATTATGTCGAGTGTACAGCATCCCAACATTATTCACATTTACGAAGGTGAATACCAGATAACGTCTCGTGTTTTTTTTTTTTTTTTTTTTTTTTTTTTTTTTTTTATAGTGAGGTCGTATACATAAAAATATTTGAAATCGTAACGTGTTTACGAAACCCAAGATATTTAACGCTATTTTTTTTATAATAAATACATTTTTATTAATGAAATCTTTAAGAAAAGTAAAACCCGATTTTTTTATTAAATACTTTTTACTTGTAAACTCAATTAAATTGATATCAATGATATTAGACTTAGAATATACGTTTGCGGTTATCTTTAAAAATTGTACGTAATTATTAGCAGAAAATACGTGTGTATGTAGTTACATCAATTGTAATAAAAACAATATATAGATTATAAATAACTTTTTAATGGATTTGGTCATGTTTAAGTAAAACATTTTAAACAAGATTTCAAGAAAATTTCCGAAATCTTATTATTAAAATAAGCATGCTTTTTGTTGTAATTTTGTATCTCTTAATTATTTAAGAATTTATTTAAAAAAGAATTTTATTTAAAAAATATTATCATAATCTTAGTTTTAATTTGCTTTCATTGAGCATAAAAAGCAAAATTTACTTAATACTTTACTATTTAATTCTCCAAAACAGTGGGTAGAAATTTTGTTACATGATATATTTTCCTTTTTCACTAAGCTTAATACTATTAATTTCGTATTTTTATATAAAGATGTAACACTGTTAGAGCAACTATTCGTATTTCTTAAAATAAGCCCAGAGCATAGTTTGCTTCATAAGATAAAACTAAACGTGAGCGATGCTTGTGTCTACGCGTGCGCGCGCGTGAATTTTAACAAACTAAAACTTTTTTAATTTTCGACAGTATTCGAAAACAGGGAGAAAATGGTGCTTGTGATGGAGTACGCAGCTGGTGGTGAACTTTATGATTATCTGAGCGAGCACAAGGTCTTGACTGAGATGGAGGCGAGGCGCATATTTCGTCAGATATCCACTGCCGTATTTTATTGTCACAAGCACAAGATTTGCCATCGCGACCTCAAACTCGAAAACATACTTTTGGATCAAAGCGGGAACGCCAAAATTGCTGACTTCGGCCTATCAAACGTCTTCGACGAGCGGAGATTATTGAACACCTTCTGCGGCAGTGCCCTGTACGCGAGTCCCGAAATAGTCAACGGGACACCGTACCACGGTCCCGAGGTCGATTGCTGGAGCCTCGGTGTACTTTTGTATACTCTTGTTTACGGTGCCATGCCCTTCGACGGGACCAACTTTAAGAGGCTAGTCAAACAGATCTCCGAATCTGATTATCGCGAACCTAAAAAGCCATCACGTACGTAACTGTTGACATTATTTGTTCGTTTTTTATTTGATTCACCTTGGTGCAGTGACGTAGTCTCGATTTTCGTATCAATGTGCATTTTAAAATTTTAAGTCCAATATATGGGCTACTATTTGATCAATTGTTAATTAACGCATACACGTTATTCCATTGCGTGAATATTTATGTACATCATATTTTATTAAACATTTGTCTTAAATAAGTGTAGAATCATTGAATGGCTTATTGAAATAATAATCATTGGAGTTCGTTGCTCAATAAATACAAATGAGCTGTTGTAGGAATAAAGTTTAAATGTATACGGTTACTGAAGTACTGTAGTATAAAATTAATCTACGTTTACGCAAAAGATACGCAAGATTAATAATGATTTTGATGCTTGGATCATTTTAGTAAAGCAAATGATAATCGTGCCTTTGAAACAAAATCCGACAAAAAATCATGACACTTGTAAAATATATCGAGTCCCAAAACAACTGAATACGTAACTGAGGTATTCGTGTAAAGAACAAAATAACGTAATTGGCGACATGAATTTTCAATGAATTTGACCTTTAGCATATCCATTATACTATTGATATAAATTTTAATAGCCGCTAAATATGATGATAATACAAAGTACAAAGACTCGGCTGTACTTATCGTATAAAATTGCACCCTACCATTGTAATAAATTTCTCATGTACTTGACTAAGGAATGTTTTTACAGGCGCATCCCCTCTGATAAAAGCCATGCTGACGGTGAGTCCTTCGCGGCGAGCGGATATCGAAAAAATCTGTACGCACTGGTGGGTGAACGAGGGCTACGAACAGAATTGCTTGGACATAGCCGAAGATCTTGCCGCACAAACCCCCGTTCGGCTGGATTTACTCCTCTCGCTTGTCCCGCAGTCGGCAAGCGCCGAGAAGCTCGTGGTAGGCAGCGACCAGCCATCACAGCCACCGGACATCGCTGACAACTTGTCCACGGAGGCGTTGTTACCTACCAGATGCCACTCGGTTGGCAGTCTAATGGAGCTAGACCAGAACAACTCCGACAGAAGGATCAGGGAAATGGTGCAGCAGGAGTCGAAGGCTCAAGCTAAGACGAAGATAACTCCGGTCGTCGACTCTAAGAGGAAACTCGAGACGACTCCATCCACTGAAGAAACAACTGCTATTGGTGTTAAGAGAAAAGAGCGCACCAAGAAGAAGGAGGCCATTGATGATAGGGATTCTAAAGCGTATAGAACTACCACAAAGTATGCAATGCAATATATTTTTAATTAATAGACATTGCGTGTGATATATCATTAAATGTTTAGTATAATATTAAGGCTCGTTACATGTATTTTTACATTAAACATACGGATTATATAATAGATAGACTTCATAACTTTTATCAACGGGATTAACGTAAAAAAATATATATATATAAGCTCTCGTTAAAAACAAAAAAAAAAAACGAGAGAGAGAGAGAGAGATGTTGATGAGTGTCCTATCTAACGTTTATTGCCCTTCGCATACATAAAAAAGGAATAGACAAAGTCACATAAACACGTATAACTTTTTTCATTCCTTATATGTACGTTTATCGTAGCACAATACATATAATGTAAAAAAAAAAATTCATTTTAATTCTCGTTTTTCATATATTTTATAAATTTACATTGTAAATTATCATTCTATTGTATAGACGCATAAAAACAAAAAATGAAAAACAAAAAAGAAAGAGAGAAAAAAAATTATAAAATAATGATAAATATAGTGACTTGTGTTTTACATATTTTTATCGTCTTCGAGTCCATCTAAATTTCCGTTCTAATGTTTAAATAATATTAAATAAAAGTAAATTAAAATGAAGAAAGAAATTTTTTCTTAAAAATAAACCAGTCCGACGGTCTGTTAGTAATAAAAAGAGTACAGAATATTACTTAATTTCTTACCTAGAGAAAAGTTTTTGCTTTTTCTTTCTTTCTTTCATTCTTTTTTTTAGTTCTTCGATAGTATTTTAAAAATCAACTTGAATTGCTAATCCCCTCAAGCTTAAAAATCAAAATAGCAAGTATGATAAATATATAATGAAAAATGTTTTTTTAGGCATCATTCGGCACCAATACCAAACTCCATAGTGGAAGAAGCAATGGATATAGATCAAAGTGTGGTGATATCAGTTCCTACAAGTAAGACTGTCGATTTAAAGAAAACTGGCGATTCCATGACTTGTTTAGAAATAGTAGATGGGAATCGGGAAGAAAAATCACCTAATAGAGAACGTAGAAAAACTCTCGCTTCATCCGATTTAATTCAAGTGTCAGGCAATAATGTAACTGAAAGCGAGACCGTACATGATATTGCGACTCTTCCCAATGAATCGAATGAAACGAAAGGAACGCAGCAGGAGTTGGTGTGTTCCTCTCCTAAAAAAACCGTCTCACAGCTGCAAACGGAAGAGAGAGACGCTACGATGGTGGATGTGCTAAAAGAAAAGAGTCCATCGAAAATTAACGAAGCCATTAACAATAAAGCTTGTATGCCGAAAGATACAGTGGAAAAACCCGACGAAGTCCAAAAGCGAACGAACGTGACAAAGAAGTTGCGAAACAAATCGCTCTCGCTCGATTGTGATTTGATCTCGGACGACTCGGCTCCAAAGCCCACGACCGAGCGTCGAAGATCTAAGATTTTCGAGACCGCGGAGAAATTTAACCAGCTCGCATCACCGGTCGAGCCTGAAAAGCCTAAAAAGATCTTTATCCCGGGTGTGAACGTTGGTGGAGCCAAACTTGTGTTTGAAAGGAAGGCGAGTCTATCGTCGGCCACGGTACCGCAAACCATCAAGGCTCCAGTATCCAAGGTAATCATCGACGTGCCGACGTTCGATAAGCAACCCGAGAACGGAAAATCTCTAGAGGCGGATATAAAGAAGGATAGGAGACGCGACGAGGAAAAGAAGCGAGCCGTAGATATTATAACTGGGGCCTTGGGTAAGCCACCGATGTTGAGAAAAGCTAGCGGATCGCCGCCAATTTCACCTCAAAGCATTGAAACTAAGAAGTTGGGTCTCAAGATCCCTCTCGGTCCAAACGATGTTAGGAATGCGACAATCACTGTGACAACGCCAACGGAAACCAAATTCCCATTTGAGCCAAAATCAGAACTGCATAACAAAGCCGTAAGTAGCGCTTAATTATTCTTACTCATTGTTTTTACAGAACGCGATAGTGCTGTTAGCCATCAATTTCCATACTCACGACTATCCGTACAGTTAAAAGATAAAATTATTGCCCCTCAAGTGTTAAAAGCAAAGCAAAAGCAAATATTTATCAATAAGGATGTTGCTATCGCTCATTGGATTTTATCCCCTTCGTTCTCTGCCGTTTAATTCCTTTAACCATTGATCGTCGCACTCACGGTAAGAGCAGTTCAGCACTGATTTTTCAAACTGATTTTCCAAGTTAAACTAATTGCAGTTCTCTTAAATAATTCATTAAACCAATTATCAAATTTAACTAATTATCGCCACATTAACATCGTCCGAAATTTGCATTATAATTTAACAATACTAACGTGCATTATTATTGCAACATGAAATAATTAATGAAAATTCGTAAGAATAACCCCCGTAAAATTTGGCAAATAATACGACCAACGTATCGATCGTTTATCCAAATGAGCAAATTAAAATCGAGAAACAATGACGTAAAATCGGTAACTCCTAGCTTCAAACTACCAGACCAAATATCGACAGAATAATAACCGAAGGAAATGCTTGTGCAGGTGATCGTGAGCTCGGATACGTCGAGCCACGACGAGATATCCAAGTCGACGGCCGACGAACCAAAGAAATGCAGCAAAATGGAAATAACGCTGAAGAGTGCGACGCTTCCCCGGCCCCACAAAACTAGCAAAGCCGAGATTATACTGGCGGGCCCGAGACCCATGGACGTAGCTTTCCGCTCGGAGATCGAGGCCAAGATCGACGCTTTCCATCCGCAGAAACTGCGCAGTCAGCGCTCGGAGGTTGCCTTCCCAGTAAACGCTGCCGTATCTAACTCGACCTCGCACCGCAGCTCGAGCCTCGAACCGGCGGCGCGAGCGACCAATCGGGGCTCCTTTGGCGAGCGCCTCATACCGATTCAGATAGAGCCGACACCCCAGCTGGCGACCGTTCACTCGACGACGCCACCACCCAAACCCCCGATGCCCCAACGCTCGCTCTCCCAGCGCTCCAACTCCCTCTCGCGGCAGTCGACCGCCGACTCGGACACGGACAGCGCGCTCGGCTCGACCGTCGGTCCCGAGCCCATCAGGAAGAGCCCCAGGGAGTACATAATACCGATCGCCGTCGAAGGCGGGGGCTACGTTACACCCCGCTCGGGTAGTCTCGAGCCCGAGAGTAAAAACGGCACGCCCACCAGCGTCAATCCGCCGAGGTCGAGGTTCGGCAGGCCCAGGAGGATGGGCTCGCTCCTGTCGGACGCTAGCGAGGATGAGTCGCCCTTCTCTTCACTACATAGGTTTGCACTCCCTTGGTATTTATCCGCGTTCCCCGTTCGCTCCTTCGCCTCCTTCTCTACTACTCTCCACTGTAATCCTTGCACTCGCTCTTATGTAAAAAAAAAAAAAAGCCCAAGACGCGTAGCAACAGCTCGACTCAACTCATTTTTCCAAAATATTTACCAGGCCACAGTGAGAATTAAACCAACACAGTGTGCTTCTAAAGGATTATTTTCTTCTTCTAACTTCTTTCATTTTGCTTTAATAATTTCTATTTCTTTTTCTTTTTCTTTATCCGCATTTGATCCATCGAACGTTAGCTCGAATATTATTCTCGAGCACGACGATCGTAGTGAGATACCTTGTCTTGTATTAGTACCAACGTATTTTCAATGGATGAACGTATTCATAGGGATAACGAGGACTTACTACAGAGGCACATGCATCGGTTGAGGAGCTCGCGACCGCCACGACAAGCTCCCGAGCACGCGGACAGCCTCTCGTCCGGGGAAGACGACGACGACGACGGCTTCGAGCTTCTCACCGCCGAGAATTTGTTCTCTACCCTCCTGTCGCGAGTGAGAAGTCTCACCCAGAGGCTCAACGTCGACGACAACAGATCCAATAGTGGCTTCCCGAGCAGCAGAATACTCGGCAGGCTGGGCTCCAACTCGTCTCAAGGATTCTGGGGAGCGCACGAGCCACTCTCGAGGTGTGTTTGAACAAATCCATCGCTTTGCTAGTTATCGCCCGTCAAACCTTATTGCTCAATCGTTGAGACAAATATAATGTCGATATAATAGAAAACTAACGAGATGATAATGGCTGTATATTCATAGTTTATTTGCTAATGAAATGAATTTACTTATGTGTCGCTAAGTTGTTGAAAAAATTGTTGATTCCTTTTGTTTTGTTTCTTCTTTTCTTTTCTTTTCTTTTCATTTCTTTTGAATCACTAATGCCACGAAAAGAGTATAGATAATTATTATTTTGATTGGCATCGTTAAAATCGTAGGAAAATATTGAAATTATCGATCTTGATTGATATTATTAATACTGTAACATGATACAATGAGAATCGGGGAGAGCTTTTAAAATTTAACCATAAGATCGGACAAATCGACACCAACTCATTGTCAATGAAAAAAGACAAAACGACAAAAAGACAAACATGCCATTACTACTATTAATTGTTGTGCAACCTATGAATATTCGATTTAATCCTAATCGGTAAAAATTTATGCGTTAGTTTTTTATTATTAATTATTATTATTATACATCGATGATTAAAGATTAATATTTGTGCTTGTTTGTGTGCAAGCTACGAGAGCTATTACGAAAGTCAAACGGTGACAACGTGAGTGTTCTAATAACAATTTTATTAATATTAAGCGTCTATTATTGTCTATAGCACACAGCTGTTATTGAGCGCAATGTAATGTCTTCCTACCTCTCGCTTTTCACCTGTTCTTACGTTGTTTTCACACGCAAGCACTACACCATGCCCACACTTTCCGCTCAAAAGTAGTATTTTTGCTGTCGAATGTTGCTGATTTAAAAAGAGCACGCTTGAATTACTACAGAAATAAGTGAGCTCGAAATACCTATCGTCACCCCAGCACCACCCCTTCATACATTCTAAATTAACGCATGCAGGCGCGCGCGCTCACACAAACACGCACGCACAACTTCGCTTAATCGGACTTTATTTATGTGCTTCAATTACACTTATTTCTTATTTCGCAACGACTGCTATTGAACTTACACGCGACACATCTCAAGCGACAAGAGCAGTTGAAGGGTTTGCTTTACAAATAAACTACGATGATTTTCTTCTTCTTCTTTTTTTTATTTTTTTCTTTTTTTTAATTCTCGAGTTACATCTGAAATTATTGGCTGTGGCAATGTTTTAACTAATTGGAATTAGTATTTGTTAATTTGGACTCTTTATTCTAATTTAAAATACCTTTCGCGTTCGCTTTCATGAGACGATTGAAAGAAAAAAGCGTAATATTTCACGACCTTATAGACTTTCGCTTTTTGGTATAAAGCAAACCTTTCAAGGATAAAAGTAGCATTAATGTAATTAGAAAGAGCTTCAAATAATGAAAAATTGCATATGAAAATGCGTGAGAATCGGTATTAAAGGGACACAGAGGCTACTGATAGCCCGATGGAAAATGGGAGAAATCTGTACATTGAAAAGGCGCGTGGTATTAAAATCAACGCAGGGATGATGGTGGCGGGGGGGGGGGGGGTCGAACGACAGAGTGAAACGCGAGTGGCAGTCTAACGAACGCGACTCATTAAAGAAAATATGCGACTTTTCGTGAACGTAGTTAGCAATGGCAAAGTAAGACAGAGAGATCGATCGCTCGCGTCTAATGCAGTGTCCTTCTTGCCGGCAATTAGACGGATATCAGACTCGCAGTTCCGACGCTCGATGAGCCGCGACAATAGCTTTGGCCGCAAGGAATCCAGCGGAGCCAACAGTCCAATAACCCAGCAGAACAGTCCGGGGACGCGAACGTCCTCACGGGACAGCCTCTTCGACATGGGGAGCAACACTTTACCAAGAGGTGAGTATCGTCACACGAATAGCTCTACGAAGCGCAAGAGATTGCTTTGAACAGCCTAACTCGACGTACCGCGAGCTTTTTATTACCGATTTCCGCTCGCTCTTGTCACGAGCTTTATTTACCGTCAGTGAAGGAACCCAAATCGATCATTTTAAAAACATTCATTCACACGAATTCGTATTTCGTTTGTTTGCTTCTCACCGAATATCGCATCGAATATTGTACCGAACGTCCCTTGGGGGACTTCATTACAATTGTTTTTACCGCTTCTTTTTACGACTACTTAAAAAAAAAAATTGACGATTTTTTTTTTTCTATTATTATTATTATTAGTAGTAAATTTGTAATTCTTTTTTTCATTTTTTTCTCTCTTTTTTTTATTTATTTATTTTTTTTTTTTTTTTTAGTAGTTTTTGTAGTTTTTGTAGTTTTTGTAGTTTTTCATACAAAATTTCGCGCATTTCGTTATTATTCCGCAATTGAGAATTGTAATTAAGGAGCTAAACTTCTCGTTTTGGAATTTTTAAATCAAATATTGAGTTCAGCATTTCAAAGTAATTTACTTGTCAAATTTAAAAGGATAGAATATCATATAATAATGGCACGCCTCTTTGTAGAAGTCTAGATATTATTTAAAAAGTATTTTCTTCTTTAAAAACAATAACCTGAAAATTAATAATAATAATGATGACGATGATGAAGATGATGATGATGATGATTGTGGTGGTGGTAATGATGATTAATGTTTGATGATTAATGACAATGATGATGACTACGACGACTACGACGCCAATGACACAATAATGACACGAGAATGACACGACGACGACGACGATGATGATTATCATGTTAATTTGATTAATAAACAATTATTATAAAAAAAAAAAAATTAAAAAAAAAGTAATGGTAATAGAAAGTAGCTTAGACTCCTGCCAAGTGGCAGTGTACATGAATATTTAAAGCCAAGTGAAAAGAAAATATACATAACAGAATTTGAAGTTCTGTCTGCATCTTCTAGAACGTAACTGTTGTCGAGTCGTTGATAGACAGAGCGCACATATCCATCCAGCCATACACTCAAACATTTATGTTTAATTATGATTATTTTTATTTGACATTAACTATATTTTTAATTATCTGTTAACTCTCGTTATTTCTCTCCAACATAATAATCCTTTTTTTGATTTGTTGATTGTTTGACGATGATGTTTTTTGCTACACTTTTTTTTTTTTTTGATACTAACACATAAATGTAGATTGTTTTGTTCGGTTCATATTCGACACAGGTGGGTAGAAAGTAAAATTTATGTATTTATATATATATATATAAATTTTTTTTGCAAAAATTAAGTATTTTATCGCGTAGTTAGTTTATATTACATATAATGTATGACGCTGATTTACAAATGGCTTTTATAATAATAATTGTATCAGTAATTTTTAAAATATAATTTTGTTCATTCTTTTCTCAAATGTTAAGTTCGATACTGAATTATTAATCTATTCCTTATATAAAATAAACGATTAAATAGCTAAAATTAATAAAAATAACATTTATATGAATATTTCGTTTTTTTTTTGTTTTTTTGTTTTTTTGTTTTTTGTTTTTTTTGTTTTTATCAATATAAGTAACAAACAAGATTCTATTGATAAAGCTTGATTATGCGTCAATTTTTATTCAATATTCCTCGTCAGAATTGCAATTAAAAAAATAATGTAAAATACTACGTCGATATGCAATGGCTAATAAATGTTCCTGAATTTAATTAATATCGCTTTCAGAAAAAAATATTTTTATTTTAATTCAAAAATAAAATAAAACACAAGAATATGTAGATAAGGAAATAAATACAGGCAAGTATAAATTTGTTAGATAAATGTATAAGTATAATGGAATTTAAATATATATTACTTTAAATGTTGATGAGTCTTTTTCTTTTGTAAGATTTGTTTAATCTCTATAACGCATTTTTTAATAAAAAAAAAAAAAGAAAATCTCTACAATTATATGAACAAGTATACTTATACACAAAAAAAAAAATATAAATTAAAAATAAATGAAGTTTACTATTTGTACAAAGTACAAATACAAATTTTGATATATCGTATTTACGACATTTATGACATTCATACATTATTTTGAAAGATCGTTTTTTCTTAATTTTAAAACATTTGCGTATTTATCGAAGCATTAATCAATGTGTGGAATTGTTAATATAATTTTAAATGTATAATTGAGTGAAAGCTGCATATAATAAATTAATTTTCTAATTGCAAATTCGTACGCACACCAAAGCACTTCATAAATATTCATTGATAAAGTGATATTTGACAAAAATAACACTGCTCAAGTGTAACGCAGGTTTAATCGCATCCTTAACTCGCCTTACTCAATACTTAAAACATGTTTTTGTAAGGTCTTGAAAATTCACGTGTCTCACATACCCTATCCAGACTGTTTTTTTTCTTTTTACTCATTTTGCCATACAAGAGACATAACAAATATACTTTTACGGGAATTCTAAGTCTATCGCCGACTCTTCAATCAGTGATTTTAAGTACTAGTTGCATTCACTATCGCCGACTGACTGATTTCTTTACACTATACTCTCGCAATAAAATAAAGAATTCAACCTTACGCCATGTCATATGAAATTTGATCGTATGATCATATGAAGCTTGATCGTAGAAAAAAGGCATGCGTTTATTGAAAAATTAACTTCAATTAACTGTCTCTAAACCATAAGAATGAGAAGTCAAGTGTTATAATCCAACGATGATCCAAAGATGATAAAAGCAATATAAGATAATACTAGAGATTAGCAAGAGTATACTCTGAAAAAATCACAGTTGCAATGCTCTCTGTGGTATACGTTTTTTATTGGTCTTTTCTGACGGTTGTTGCAGCGACCGTGCGAGTGACTCTACGTAGGCGGGCCGACGGTAATCCCCAATAGAGAAACCAAGTTAGGTACTACTTGCTCAGCCTAATCTTTAATCGAGATCGAAATCAACAACACGATACAGTGGTCGCGTTTCTTCTTCTACCGCTTCTTCCAATATCCACACCACTTACTCCACCTCCTCCTCCTCCTCCTCATCCTCATCACCATAATCATCGTCATCGTCATCGTCATCGTCATCGACAACAGCAACAATAACAACAACAACAACAACAACAACAACAACAACAACAACAACATCCTCGTCGTCATCCTCATCCTCATCATCATCATCATCATCATCCTCATCATTGTCATCTTTTTCTACTTCTTTGTCTTCTTCTTCTTCTTTTCTTCTTCTTCTTCTTCTTCTTCTTCTTCTTCTTTTCTTTCTTCGTCGCAAAGAATAAGAGAAAAAAGTAACGATAAGCCAAAAAGTAAATCAATAATAGAAGACAAGTGGATAAAATTGCTCTCATCGTATGTTATTGAAAGTATACACATTTTCTATCTCTGGTTTCACAAAAGAGAATAAAAGTAAGAAAGAATAAACACAATTCGTGCAACTCACTCACTCGGACACTCCTAATGCAAGAGGCAACACAACAAGCTAACAACTCAACACAGACAAAATTATGAAAATTAAAAATATGAAAAACGAATAATAACATTTACGAGAGATTATGTATTTGTAACAACGAACCGTTAAACGACCTCAGTTTAGCAAAAAAAAAAAAAAAAAAAAAAAAAAATAATAATAATAATAAAACCGAGTAAAAGTGAAAAAAAAATTTATACGTATAATAACAAGGGGAAAACCTCTAATTCGAAGGTTCTCTTATTATTTTGTAAATCTTGTTCGCGCATCTCCAAACAAAATATCCTGGTTTTCTTAAAGTATGATATATTCTACATATTAAGCTTTGCCTATACAACGAACGAGATAATAATTGATGAAGTGACTTCGACGGAACAACGTTATATGCTTACGATATGAAGTCGATTGTGACCTCGAACAGTAGAATAAATCATACTTGGCCAATTCAATGAGAGGAAAATTTACGTAAAAATGAATTTACGGAACACAAGCCAATTATATTTAAGCTGATTGTTGCGTTACCACAGAAGCAATTTTATAGATAACACGGTGAATTTTTGTATATGGCAATGTTGAGAGGAGAATGAAGAAATGTTTGATAATCTTATAAGGCCAGCAAGAACTAACCCTTGTATGACGATGGCTGCGATTTGTTGTGTTTTCAAGAGTTTATAAATAACAGCGTTTTATTATTTCATATTGTCTTGGCATGTTGCGATTCTTAAAATTGCTGCTACATACTGTGTATTCTAATATACATAATGCGAAGTATAAGAGAAAGTCGGAGCAGGGCTTACTCATTTACAAACAAGCCAACAAATTTACTTGATATTAATTATCGATATCTCAATGATAATCTTAGGAATAGCGCGATTATTATCTTGGATTGTTTCTTTGAGATAAATCTAAATGAGCTTGAGTCCCGTTAAATGAGTACACCTTTCTTCAAATACACTGTTTTATTTCTTTCCATGTATTTGTATTAGTGATCTCTTCGTAACAATGTGGCAAATTGTAAGTAATGCATTGTCGATTGAAAAAGAAAACGATTTCTTTCTCTTTTGTTCTTCTTTCTTTTTTTTCTTTTCTCCCGACTTTGTTCGAGCGTTTTCCTTGGATACCTGCTCCTGAAATTTTTATTATTTTTATCAATACAATTCTTAATTCTTAATATGAATAAGTTTTAGCAATTACTTGTTATTCTATTTAATATTATGCATCAGTACTACGAAACACTGCCAAGTGCATATTTGTAAATGTACATATAAAAAAATAATATATATATATATCATTACCGATCTTAACAATAACAACTATTTAATAGTTGTAATTTTAAGATATTAAGTATGAAAATAAATTTCCATGACATATGCCATGTCACATGTAAAATATTTATTCTAATGCGAATTAAAGTATTCATTTTAATCTACAAAAATGGAATAAATTCCAATTAAATTTTAAACAACTTTTAAAGCAATTAAAAATATTATAATAATGTATACATGATAAAATATACAAAAAATTATATTAATTACAAACAATCTGTTCATACATTGTATAATACATTTATTTACGCATTTATCATATAATTTGAAAAAAAAATTATCATCTGTTCAATATATACAATAATATAAAAAAATAAAACAAAAAAAAATATTGTGAATACAATAAAATTTCATAACAAGGTATTCTTTTATTGTTCGTTGTTTTTTTTTTTTTTTTTTTTTTTTTTTTTTTTTTTATTTTGTACGTCCTATTTATATTTACGTAAATCCAAAAATATTTTATTCTAATACGTGTTAATAAAAATTCTGTGGATTCGAAGAAATTTTTCTTGTTCGTTTTTTTATTTGTTATTTATTTCTTTTTTTTTTTTATTTATTTATAAGCTTTTTGAATGCTAACTCTACCTAAAGTGCTTTTCATCTAAATATTTATCAACAAGCGCCACATCGTTCCGAAGAGACACAACCATTATATTGTTTTACCGAGAATCCGGCTTATTACATTTTAATTTACAAGTGTGTATACAAATATAAGAAAATTAAATAAGCTTTTATGTTCTCTCTTTTTTCGTTTCGCAAATCCGCTCAATTAATTATTATGGTATACAGTGATCTTCTACATAATTCTAAGTCATAGTAGTCAAAGAAAGTACATATTATAATATATAATTTTGTACATCGCGTTTTCTGAAATAAGACGATAACTTATAAAACAAAACAAAAGTACAGAGAGAAATATTAACTGTCGCGGAATATTCTGAATAACAGTCTTTATTTATTCTTACTTTTCGACGGATTTTATAAAAACATTTTATGTATGTAGAAATAAAGAATTGTATATAATTAAAACAACTTGATTTATTTACTTTTATAAACCATTGTTAAACATCTGCTTCGAATAATTTAACATCAGATTTGATTTAATTTAATTTAATTTTACGAAATTCAATGTTGCATTTCTCAATACTAACTTTGTATTTTATTCCAGATAATTACTATGATTTTTATTTGTACTTTAACGGTGTAGCTGTTTTCTAGTACTCCTAACTAATTGTGTAACGGAATGAGGCACACACCATTTTGAACACAAATATACGTTTACGTATGTGTTTGTGTGCCCGCGCGCCTGTTTGTTTATGCGTGTGCGCGTGAGTGTTTTTTTTTTTTTGCGCGCGTGCGTGTGTGCGTGTGTGCGTGTGTGCGTGCTCGCGCGCGCGCTCGTACGTTTGTGTTAACGTAAAGGCTAAGAAATTTTAAAAGGGAGAGATATAGGAATAAGAATAAATAATAAAATGTCACGATTTGTCAAGAGGACATAAGTCAAATAAGTTAAACGAATAAGTAAGTAATTTACAATGTTTTAAATGTTGATAAATAGCATGATTAATATTGTAGAGTGTCAAAGAACATAGCACGAGTAAGGAATGTAATATAAATTTTAATATTAAAACTCTTTTCTCACTGAGTAGTGCCCTCTTAACAAATTATAATTTTTCTACTTGAACTGTTTGTTAAGCACACGAACGTGTGAGAAACAAAATTACACGGTCGTACATTATTGGCCATTCGTGAATAAGGTACGTATTATTTAATGAGTCTTATAAATAATGAAATAGATAAGTAAATGAGTAACGTAGGTAATGTGCTTGGAATGTTTCGTTGAGCTAAATAATAGACCTTAGCCGACATCGGTATTCTTTCATTGGAATCGGCTTAATAATGAGCACCATGAATGTCGCTTTGAAAATGCAGGGCAAGGATCGATATCCTTGCCGATCGGCCTGATAAAACATTCGATGAAAGATACTCGGTGCGCACTGTATTAATTGGAAAATTTCGCCGTGGGTCGAGTAAGCGGTAACATCTGCACAGACACGTTTTCTCCGCTATTTTCAGCTAAAGGTCAGCAGGCCCAGCAGCAGCAGCAGCAGCAGCAGCAGCAGTCCCCGGGCGAGTCGCGCCGTAGTCCGGAGCCGAGCCCCGAGCTGAATTTCACGCCGAGCCTCGCCCGACGGCTTAGCCGACACTTCATCGAGCGGACCCGCCAGTCCCTGCCCCGCGATGCCACCTATCTCGGCCCCTTCCCCCCCGGCTTCGACGGGCCCGAGCGGCTTCGAAGCCGCTCTCAGGAGCGCGCTTCCGCTGGCATGAGACGCGCCAACAGCCTCCTGGAGCCCAGCCTCTGCAGGCCCGAAAGACGCTCGCCCCGCAGAAGCATCAGCCTTTTCGACGACGAGGATCGTTATCTGCCGCCCCTGCCCCTTGGTCGCAAGTATCGGGACTCGAGCAAACTCAGCACGACACCCATCGTCGTCGAGAAGATTCAGGAAGAGCCGCCGGAGGAGCCGTCGTCCCCGAGGGACGGGCGCCTCGAGGCCACGTCTATCTCGGCCTTCGATTGCCGGGAAGCAGCGACCCCGGGCGACGACACCTCACCCATCGGCTCCGCCTCCACCTGCCACGCGTTCGAGCGCGGCTCGTCCTGTAGGAGCGACGCCGGCGACGACGGTGGCTCCTTCGACGATCCTCTCAGCAGCAGGGAGCTCCACAGCAGACTGCTCGCCGCTGAGAATCTGATTAAGGAATCCAAATTGAAGAATCTCGGCCTCGTCGCTTTCAATCCTAATCTGAGCTCGAACTACAGAGAGCTGGAGAAGTGCGACAAGGAGTTCCTCGGTGCCATGTCCGAGACGGCGAGTGCCGCGATAGCCAAGAGGCGAAGCTGCATTCCCAGTTTGAGGCTGAGATCCGGCTCCCTCGGCAGGGAGAGCTCGCTGAACGGCGATAGAAACGGCGATAGAAACGGCGATAGAAACGGCGATAGAAACGGCGATAGAAACGGCGATAGAAACGGCGATAGAAACGGCGATAGAAACGGCGATAGAAACGGCGATAGAAACGGCGATAGAAACGGCGATAGAAACGGCGATAGAAACGGCGATAGAAACGGCGATAGAAACGGCGATAGAAACGGCGATAGAAACGGCGATAGAAACGGCGATAGAAACGGCGATAGAAACGGCGATAGAAACGGCGATAGAAACGGCGATAGAAACGGCGATAGAAACGGCGATAGAAACGGCGATAGAAACGGCGATAGAAACGGCGATAGAAACGGCGATAGAAACGGCGATAGAAACGGCGATAGAAACGGCGATAGAAACGGCGATAGAAACGGCGATAGAAACGGCGATAGAAACGGCGATAGAAACGGCGATAGAAACGGCGATAGAAACGGCGATAGAAACGGCGATAGAAACGGCGATAGAAACGGCGATAGAAACGGCGATAGAAACGGCGATAGAAACGGCGATAGAAACGGCGATAGAAACGGCGATAGAAACGGCGATAGAAACGGCGATAGAAACGGCGATAGAAACGGCGATAGAAGCGGCGATAAAAGCGGCGATAAAAATGGCGATAAAAGCAGCGATAAAAGGGACGGCCCTCAGGAGGTAACACCCGAGCGCTCGCTGCTCAGCAAAATCTTCGGGAGCGGGACGGAGGACGCAACGAAGGACCGGTCGGAGACGCAGCCGAAGTCGAAGCCGCGTCAGCGCAGAATCTCGAGATTCCTCAGACCGGACTTTTTCGATACGCCTCGCGAGGAAAGCCAGTACGTTAAGGAGAAGGAGGCTCTCAAGGCGGCGGAAAACGAGCGCCGCAAGTCGCGCTTCATGAAGAGAAAGAGCGAGGCCCGGGCCCAGGGTCCGGACGAGCGGCCGGACAAGGACGGAACTAACGTGACGAGCGCGACGGGAAAGGGCGCCGAGGACGAGGGCCGGGCACCGAGCGTCAAGGCCAGCTTCCTCCAGACCCTTGAGCGCAAGCTCGAGAAGTTCCGCTACGCGGACGATGCTTCCAAGGCCAGTGGCAAGCCCGAGCAGCCCGAGTCCAGCGCCACGGTTAAGCGGACGAGCAGTGCGAGCGACCTTTCAACGAGCAGCGGCTGCGCCTCGGCCAAGCTACCCCCCAAGAGCAAGGTGAATTCGGTGCTGGGCTTGTTTAAGAACAACGAGCCGAAGGTCGAGCAGAGCAATGGCCCGAGCTCGTCGCGGGCCCACGGGCAGACGATTTTAAGCCGACTGAGGAAGAGCCCGTACAAGGGCTCGAGCTCCGACGGCGTTCTCGCGGCCGACGGCAATGCCAGCAAAATCCCCACCAAGCTGTCGAAGGCCGATGGGAAATCGTGGAAGAAGCCGAGCGAGCCCGGCAAGTGCCCGGATAGGGCAGCGCCAGGCTTCAAAAGGTCCCCGTCCAAGGAGAAGGAGGAGGCCTCGTCGCCCAAGAGAATCAGCCCCGTGGCGAAAAAGCCCGCCATGGAAAGATTATCAAAGTCGTTGAAGAGGAGCCCGGAGAAAGTCTTGAAGGGAAAGGCGGAGAAGGACGAGAGGTCGGTGGAGGGCAAGAAAGATCCCTCGCCGATCAAAATTTTGGAGAAAAAGAAGTCGACGGATGGGGCGATAGTGAAAAAAAATTGCTCACCCGACAATTCGCCGTTAAAGTGCAAGTCACCCGAGATTATTTTGGACAATAAGCGGCTCGACGAAACGAACGGTGAAGATGATAATAGAGATGAGAAGGGTGGGGGAAAATTGAAAAAGAAAATACCGCCCCCGGCTGTCGCGATTGATAATACGAATACTTCAAGCGCGAGGTCGGATAATAGCGAGAGCGGCAAGGGGGTTAAGAAAGTTTTTAAGCCGAAGGAGCCTAAGGCCGATAAGGACAAGGATGAAGCTGAGAATACAAAAAAAAAGCGAATAGTGCGAGTTGTAAGGAAAGTCGTGAAAAAGTCGTCCGACAACGCTGAGAATAAGAACGCTGAGGGGAGGATAAAGCCCATTAAAAGCACTGTCGCGAAAACGACTTTATTAAAGACACATAAGAATACTGAAGCGTCCGCGGCACTTGGCGGCGTTCGAGCAAAGAGCCCCGAATGTCCTCCGACTTCTGCGGAAAACGAGCAGACACCAGAAATAAAAATAATACCAGCTATGGATATTAGCAGTATTAATCAGCATATTAGAAGCAACAATTTGGACAAGGTATCTAATAACGGTAATGAGCAGGCAGATACGAGGATGCTTAACGACATCGTTGAATCCGAGGTAACGGAAATAAAGCCGAGTCGAGAGAAGCTTAAGCTTGATTTGTCAAAAATTCCCCAACACAACTTTAGAAATATCACACCGCCAAGGAGGGAATCTCCAAAAAGCGAGACTCCGAGAAGCGAAACTCCAAGGAACGAATTGCCGGAAAACTCAAAATTCGTTCAAAGTAATCAGTCGGACGACGTTAATACGGAGAAATTAATGGAAAATCTGCCGAGGGCACATAATCGGGCGGCCGTGTCAGGGAACAAAATTTCAACCGATAAATTATTACGAAATAATAAAGATACGCCAGTTGTGAAGTTGAAATGCCAAGTTAGTGGGCCAACAACAATCGAGAGGAACGACATATCTAAAGAAAACGGCACTGCGTCGCGGATAATCAATAATTCATCAGAAGTCGAAGTACAGACCGACGTACGAGAAACTGGGGAAACAAAAATATCGGCTTCTTTACCGAAGAATCGTTCGAGCGCTGATGATTTGGTATCGCCGACAGAGGACACCGAGAGCTTCGATTCCTGGTCAATTTGCTCGGCCGATATTAATAACACACGAGGGGACTTGCATTCGCCAACATACTCGATGTACATACGTCGAGATCATCCTAATACAGAGTCGGTTATAGATAGAATAAGAAGAAAAAGTTTTTACTCTAGGTTTAATGATAGAAAACGAAAAGCATCTTTAAATGCACCACCACCAGGTATCAATATGTCATCTAGCGTGACATTGCCAAGAAAATTTAGTTTTCATAGTGCGAGGGATATTAGCAAGGATCAGAAAAACAACAAGACAAACAACTACACTCTGCCAAGCAGAAAAAATCCCGAAAAATCTTACAGCATGTACAACGACGACGCCACTTTATTCAGAAACTCTCCGATCGAGCGCGATAGGTACTCGGATGGTGGAAGCTCATCGTCGTACTCGAATGACCTGAAGTCGCCTAGTGAATCGTACGGGCATATTTCCTCCTCCTACGATCCTCTTAGAAAGTATTTATCCCCTATATGTAATTCCAGTGTTGCACGTAGAAAATATCACAGTTCTGAATTCAGCACGAATAATGATTTGGGTTCTTACAGAAATTCGTCGTCACTCGCCGACAGTATGCTCGAACCCAGCTTAAACACAAATCTCAGTGCACTACCACGGAGATACGGACGCAATGTCTCCGGTTTCGAGCCCAAAACTGTCGAGTATTACGAGGAATTGCTCGCGCCCAATAATACCGATTATCTTCGAGGTCGAAGGCTCTCTCCACTCCCATACGATAATTACAATAATAAATTTGAAAATGGATATCATAATGGGAGCATCGAGCTGCCACAAATTAATACCGACAAATGGAAGAGCCATTCTAATAAAGCAAGCCGAACAGATCTCACTGAAGGAATACAAGGCGATGATTGTACAAGGTATAAATAAACATATTTAAACCAGATAAAATGACAATGATTAAGTTTTTTACCAGATTAATTTTTTATTTTTTATTATCATTATCGAAATACGTTAAAGGTAAATTCATGGATTTCATACGAGGCTTGTACAAATCCATTTACATTTACATGACATTTACATATTTAAGATCGTTGACGTGATTGTTGAATTTTGCAATTCTACCCCAATTGATTTGTATTGCAATTTCTTACATTCATATCTTCTGAACTTCTTCTGCAATTAATTGAAATAACGGAGAATAAATGATAACTTACAATAATTTCAGAAAATTAAGTCAGTCTTTACACGAACGAGATGATTTATCCTCAAATTCTCTAGACCAACGAGCAACCGCTTCCACTGCTGAGTGATATTTGTTTAAAAATTCATTAAGCTATGTTAAAACGAAGGAATTCCAATGAAAGTGTAAGAGTCAGATGTCAGTATACTACATTTTTTTTTAATCGACTAGTCATGCAGAACTTAATTTTAATAATTTAATTAACAACGGACTTCGATACTTATTAAAAGTGCAGTCTATTTCCAAACGGGGAAACGTAATTTAAACTCCAATCACTAGGTGCCAAAGAGATAGAAACATTAAGCAACTTAAAGCATAGTCAAAGATTTAAAAGATCATATAAGTATATTATATATAAGATTTTTATAATCAAAATGTCAATAAAGAAAGCATCGTTATATACATATTATTTAATCAAATTTTTAAAAGAACTAACGATGATGCTCTTAAAAGTTTGTGAAAATAAGTGGAATTATGTATGAATGAGCTATTTTTGACACATTTTTTTTTTTTTTTTTTTTATCTTTTAAATGAAAAAAATTACCATTCAAATTAAAGGAAAAGCGAGAAAGGACAAAATTGCAAACTCCAATATGAAATTGCACGTTAATGCGTATACGTTATCTCGCACATGATACATTGCTTAACAATTATTTTTGTTATTAATATTAAAATCATATTTCGAGCGTTTTATATTGAATCAAAGGCCTATGCAATGCTATTTTATTCCTATTTAGATTTTAAAAGTTTGTTTGAGGCAAATAGAAATTTATTAAAATAAAAATATTAAAATATCCTTAATCTTGTTAATAATGCAGTGACATACATTTTAAGCTAAAAATATAACAGTGGCTCGATAAATTATAGAAGTATAATGCAATTGGTAGCCAATATTATTAAAGAGGAGGTTTTGAACTACATTAAGAGTATCTTAACGCGTGTTCAGGTATTATCTTTATCCATAAAGAGAAACGACGAAAACCTTTAGTTCCTTGTATGGATATTACCTTGTAGTAATCGGAATACTTTTGTGACCAGACGGAAAGATACACACACACACTGTTCTAATTTTTGTTAATTTTTAAACGATCTTCCGTATATTATGTGTACTATGTGTTTTCTATTGATATACATATTTTAAAATAAACATTTCAAACAGAAGCGATTGTTTTTTCTTACCTTCTCTAAAATTTCGAATTTATTTTCAAAATAATGAAACGTTAAATATCTTTGGTAAGATTAAATGTATTTATATTTCTTTAATTGATATAATATAACGCCATTGAGTACAAATTAAATATTGAAACAAAAATATATTGAGTCTAAGCAACTAAACAAAAATAATACAATTTTATAACCAAATTGTGAGCTATTATTTTTGGATTTCAAACTTAATCAATTGTTGATTTGGCCATTACAAAATATCATAATATTATCGATATTTTAAATTAATATTTAATTACTTAATGATAAACTTTAATAGCTAAGGTTACATTTTTTAACAATTGACATGAAATACAAATCTTATATGTCAAAATAATGAAATAGTATTTAAAGCAATGCTTAAGAGTAAATAATTAAAGTTTTAATAATTGGAATACTTTGAATGAGGAGTTATCATTCTATAACTGGATGAATTTGAACTTGAAGAAGAAGCGGTAAAATATCCTGCTGATCTTGGGACTTTAGTTGACGTTGGTACTCTAAATACTTCGTCATTTCTTGTTGAATTGACCATATGATTTTTAAGATAGTGACCACGCGGATGATTATCATGACATTTGTAATTATTTATTTGATTTGGTGGAGTTTCATATCGAGACCTATTAAAAATAAAATTTATTATTCATTAAAGAGCCTAGCTAATTTAATTACAAATTTGAAATAACTTTTTTTGTAAGGTAAAATATGGGTAATAGTGCAAGTAGGCTTATAACGCCTAATTTTTAAATATTTTTAAATAATAACACTCACATAGGATGACTAGTTGTAGACATTGATTTATTATTTTCTTTTTGTATCATAGCTACTGTCATTTTCAATTTACTGTATTTTTGATAAACTTTCTTCAAATTTTCAGCACTAACCCAATATGCTTCTTTCAAACTTTGATATTTATTATCCTATAGAAAATTATTAAATATGAAAAAATAATAAATTTTAAAGATTAAAAAAAAATTAACAATTATTAATAATAATAATCAATAAGCCATTTGACTATTACAATTTACAAATAAAATTCATTATAAAGTGAATAAAAACATTATATACAGACATATATGTATGTTTATTAAGTATTTATATATATATATATATATATATATATATATATATATATATATATATATATATATATATATTCATATTAATACTTAATAAACTTACATTTATGTCTGCTCTTTTTAAGCAAAGAGATAACTGAGATTCTTGAAATTGTTCTGCTTGAACAACTTTTTCAAGCAAATCAGCAGGTCGCGTAAAGTAATGAGATATTTGAGGACTCAGTGGCTCTTTTAAAGGAAGTGAAATAGTGCCCGCAACGCCACATTGATGACATCTTTCTTCGGCTTTACATAACAAACTTTTATAATAATGGTCATAAAAATATTCTAAAAATTATTACCTTTTATGATGCACTTGTCACAATAAACATGACCGCATTGAGTTAAATGGAACTGCGATTGTTTTGCTTCGACTTTAAGCCAACAAGAGTTACAGCGCATCCACTCCATATTTTATGATTTGACTGTGGAGGGAAAATGTGTTTATTATGATAGAATTCCACGAAAAATAAGCGTTCAAACCAAAATTCATTCTTATCAGAATCTTTTTACCAGAGCGAAATAAATCAGAGAGAAAATCATAATACTCTATGTATTACAAACAAATTTTTTTGCAAAGTGAAGAATATACGGCACTAAATATGCATAAGCCACAATCAAAAATTTTTTTACAATATATACTGAATCGGTAGTCGGTAAAAATTATTCTCATGTATTATATATAAATTATCAATGTTACCAACCTTCTTTATACTTTTGTATTTCTGTTTATTCTCGTATTGTGCCTTGTAGTGTACTAAAAATTCACTTAGATAAAAGTTTTCTGGTAGTAAGTAACTAAAATCGTAAAAAATCGTAATTAAAATTGTTTTCTGTTAATATGAATGAAGAAAGTAGTGAAATTGTAAAAAAAAAAAAAAATGATTTGAAATTTCCCCCAAGATCTTATATCCAGACGAAGATCAAAACTCGAATTGGAATTTTATGGTAAAAATGAATCTCATATTAAAAGAAAATGTTATTTTATCCCTAAAAATGCCTATTAAATATTCATTTTCAAATCACTAAATAATTCAGTAAGTTTTAAATTAAATTATAGATTGATGTATACTTCCATGCAATGTTCTATGCTAATTGTTAGGTAATATTAAATTAAAAATTATTAAAAAATTATAAGCGATTCCAACGAATTTACATATATAAATTGATAAAACTGTATAAATGTTTATAACATATTATAAATTGTACACAGAAAATATATATAATTTATAGTACATATTATAAATATAAAAAAAAATTTAAATTCCTCGTTTTAACCGTTTATGGTTTTGAATATTTTCTTATTTATGTATTATCCAAACAATAAAAATATAAGTTTCGATCATGACATGTATATCAAGGACATGTATATCGACATCTGTATAAGTATAAAAATTTATTAAAATCGTTTTCAAAAAATACTGATTGAGAATGAGTAAATAACGAAGTTAGTGAGTACAATTAATTTTTTGAAAGTATATTTATAACTAAAATAATTATATTAGACTAATATTTCTATATATCTTTATGAATATGCATATAATTTTATAATTCTATTGTATAATATTGTAATAGTTATTAAGTACATTTTTTAGAAAAACCATATTCAAACAATTTATTTATTTTAACAACTATTTGCATAAAGCACATGAAACGAATTATGTTTTTGTGTGGCCTTAGTTGGAGTTTAGACAGATTTCTCCCTCAACCTTTCAAAAAATTTTATCTTTTAGATCTAGAGTTCATGAAATTGAAATATTTCTTAATACTGGATAAAAAAAGTTGCACAGCGAAAAAATTCCTGGCTAAAATTAGCTTTTCAACCATCAATACAGAAGTTGGAAATAAAATAATATATAATCAAAATGTTCTCTTTATTTTGTGCAGTGTAATTTTAACGGTAAAAAGTTTTTAAACGTCATCGAATTATTAGCAGAATAATTGATTTAGTTCTTAATTTCGTTCTAATAATTAAATCATAATAATTACTTCTACATTTTTAATTTAATATACAAATAAGCTACAAGTTACACACACGCGCGCGCGAGCGCGCGCACGCACGCACTTATTGAAGTTCTTGAATTGTATTTATTCAAATTATTCAAAATGTACCTATCATAGATAAATTCAAGATTAAAGTTAGTAATAGATTAAATAATGTTTTTCGTCGGCCTTACGTTCGACAAAACATTCATATAATACGATAAATAACTTATTAGTTTTTAATATATGTACATATGCAGTATATATATTTTTCACCCACGCGCACCCAATGCTCAATATAGGTTGGCAGTTAAAAAATATCAAAATATTGTATTAAATTGTTTTGAAAGACAAGAAAATTGTTTTTTTCTTTTGTCGATATTTTTGATAATATAATACAGCGTTATGATTACTTAAATAACTTAATGTAAGGATAAAATTCTAATGGACGTTCAATTCGTAATCGAAGAGTGTCTAAATATTCCGACGCGCACTAAAAAGATAATGGTCCTGAGGACACAGGAAGGGGAAAAGTTTAACATGAGACAGCGGCATTGGCACGAAATATGCAGGAGAAAAGGCGAAAATAGTTCAAATTTGCGATTGAGCATGAGCAGTGTCGGGGGCTAAGTCGATTGCAAAAATAGTTGCAAAGAACAAGCGTGAGAGTAAATTGTATAAAGAAATGGAAAGGGAAAAAGAGGTAGAACGACGACGAAATGGTGTAACTGGTACGCGAAAGAATCCAGATGTTACTTACACGAAATTGTCTCTTTATTGCTCATTTGAATATAATTAATTGCATATAGTTTTTCTCTTGTGTAACCGAAGAAAAGAATAAAGAAAATTCATTAAATTTAAACGGCACCGGTCAAAGAGTCACGGACGCTCAAACCCTCGTCCGCTTTAACTCTTTATTATGTTTTTTTATATCTCAATAATCAGTTGAATTGTTTACCTGTCCCAGATCATTCGACACTTATGCTGGCGATTGATGATCTTATATGCGCGTACTGAAGATCTAAAATTTGAAAGCACTAGAAAATATAATCAAAGCTCCGAGCATCCAAGTGCATTTAGTATTTTTAAGTGACCGTTGGGTGAGTGTGAGGTGAGGCTGGTAAGATCGGCTACGAAGTATCGCACTATATACTTGATCCGTTAATCATTAATACTTCTATCTTATGAGAAATTATTAAATAAAGATAAGAGGAATTTTCACGTTCTGATTTAATTCGATTCGGCCTGAAAATATTTAAGAAAGCTAGCAAATCGTTAAAAGACTGTTCAAAATTAAATTTATTTACTATTTAATAAAAATAATTATAGAAACTTTCACACCAAAATGTACTTCAATTTATTCTGTTTACTCTTTATTGATTTATTGTTTTTGTTATACTGATAAATAATAGCCGTGCTAACGTATAACAATCGTATACTACATTTGACATTCGACATTTGTACAGATCTGTATAAATAAAATAACAATGTACAGAAATATTGTTTTAGTGATTCTAATATACTAATCGTAATTAACAATTTTGTTAATATAATAATGAAATTAAGTTCATTTAACTAAATTTTGGTAATATACATATTTGTTAGATGGTGATGGTTTACATCTGACATATATTAGGCCAAGACAAAATAGCATATCCCTGCGTTATTCTCGAAGATGTGTTACATAACTGAGCAATTTTATAAATATTTTTATGTTACTTGATAAATTAAAGTATTAAAAAAATACACCAATAAACATATATGTGATGTAGTATTTATAAGATTTAATAATGAAAAAAATTATTGGGTGCCTCTAGTTTCCTAGCAACGTAATCCTAAAACACATTTTGGTACAAAATGGCGTAGAACGCTTTTAGGGCGAAAACTTGTCGGTTAAATTAACAATATTAAAGTTTAAGTGATAGATGTTATCTTTTATATTTTTGGAATGGAAAATACAAAATTCAAATATCTAATTTCTCAACTCTATAAGGACTATTTTCCTATCATTGTAGCATTTTTGAAAAATCAATATGGTTGGAAGAGCATTTTCTGTTAAAGTAGACCTAGATCTTCATGCTGTAAGACTCCATCTAAATGAATTCAAATAAATAGTAAATAGTATAAAAATACTTATCTCATTTAAGGTCTCTTGTCCAGGGGTATGGCTCTGTCCAGTTGGAAAAGTTTCTGTACAAATTAATATCTTTGATTCATGCACATCTACTCCCAAATTGACGTCTGTATTTCCTCTTTTGTATCACAACAAGTTGATATTTAAAAAAGTATTTACTGGTGTAACAACATTAGCGGAGCTACAAAAAAAATTATCCGAAGAATATATTTCTGTTGAGCTAATCCAATGGTCTACACTGAACAAAAATATTTGTTTAGCAACATTTGAAGCAAATTTAGTTGATGTATTGTATCCGGTACCTTGTTTTAAGGGTTTGTTAGCTGGAGTTGATATAGACTTACTTATGGAGCCCACAAAATTTTTTCCAGTAATAACAACTATTTAAGAAAATCTTTAATTTTATAATTTAATATTATTAAGTTACATTATTCTATAGGGTATTTTGTCTCCTAAACTTGAAATATCAACAAGAACTACAATAGAAGAGTTTTCAGATGTTGATTCTTCTGCTGTAGAAGCTCATATTATTAATCCAAAAACCATTAATTCTATGGTATATAATAAGATAAGTAGTCGCATTATATACACATTTTTAAGTAGATAAATATTTTATTTTTAGAATCCGTTCTGTGTTCATAAAAAGAAAGCTTTGCTCTCTAACAGACAACTTATTAGACAAAAGAAAGTATGCCATACTGGTCAGGAGAAAGTCAATACTTATGTGTGTCGACTGTACGTTAATATAAATATCATTACATATGTTTATTCGTATAAAGAGTTTCTTTTTGGAATAATGACTATTTCTTTCACAGTTGTCGACGTCTGCAAAATAATACAAAAGTTGACCATAATTGTAATCCTCCCACTCAATTGCATTCGACAGATAAATGTTATCTCTCATCCGCACAAAAAAGGCATACTTGTAAGTCCTTAACGAATAATTCACAAAAATCCCATGAAAATGATAATGTTTGTAATGATGTTCATGTGCTTGAAAACTGTCCAATTTGTCTCAAATATCAATGTTATTTTTCTAAAAAGAAGCCTAAATCTGATAATCAATCAAATTCATGTAATGTAGTAGTACATAAAAAACCGTACAATAAGTACATAGAAAATAGAACAAAATTTACAAATGAATTTAATTGTGATCATACTCATGAAAATTGCGATAAAAAAGTATCAAAACTATCAAATACAATACACTCTCTTCATTTAGAAAAAGGTAGAACAAATAATGAAGATATAAATCATCACTGTTGTGCTTCAGAAATATGTAAAAATAGTTCTAATTGTCAGTCGTACAGGGCACCTACAATAAAAGATGATTCGACTATGTCAATGTAAGTTCATTGACTCACTATTAGGTATAGCGATTAATAATTTTATTTAATTTAAACATTATTTCAGTTTACTTGCAAAAATAAAGCAATTAGAAAAAACCAAAGAAAAATTGAATTACGCTGATTGCGCAGACAGGTAATATCAAAGGAATAGAAAATTATATAAATATTTATGTATATGGCATTTATATGAAAATCAAAGTAATCAATTTATTCTATTTTTAGAGATTCGTGTTATACTACATCAAATAATAATAATGAAAGTAATGAAGTACGAAAAGGGTATTATAAAAATTTAGAAAAATTTTATAAAAAAATGTATAAACAAGCAAAACAGCGAGCACACGATTTAGATGAATCATGAATTTATCTTCTGTTTTATGGAGAGTTACTTGTTACATTAGCTGATTAATTATTTAATTACTTCAACATTAGGCATTTTATTATTTTTTAAAAAGTTGCCTTTTTACTTGATTTTACATGATTATATAATTCAATGAAAAAAGGATGTGTACAAAAATGTCATTTAATAATAAATTGGAAATCATTGTATACAATAAGTTTAAAAGTTAATTGAAATATTATATTTACATTGATATTTACAAAATAGAATATTTTATAATTACGTATTGAATTCTAGTCAATAAGATTAACTACAGTTTAATCAGATGTACAATGGTATTTTAATTAACTGTTTAAGCTAATTAAATTTTAAATATCGAATTATAATTATAAATTTTTTTTAACTAAATTTATTAATTTCGTGTACTCTTGTACATATTACTTTTACTATACAACGTTGAATTTGTGAAATAAAGTATTCTAAAACTTTTGAAAATAATGAACCTGTTTTCCACGTTTATAAGCTCGACTTCCGGAGATTCGCATTCCACGTAATGTAACAGATTTCGATAAAAGAGGTGGATTCCGTAAATAAATTCCACGACCTTCTGGTGTCCACGCCCTCATGTTAACTTCGTAATCTGTATTTGCAGTTATTGCTATCCAGCCTTAAAAACACAATCGCTTATCATTATTATTTAATTTTTTCTTATATAATTATAAACGACTTACCAGCATTAGATAATACAACATCTGATGCAGACGTGGATTCTCCGATACCAATTGTTTTAAAATCTTTGGATTTTAATTCAGGCCACATTTTTAATCTATTGGGATTACTATCTGGTACAACAAATGCTTCTGTTTGTAATAATTCATTATAAACAAGTTCTGCATCCTTGACTTTACAGATTGTTATTGGCAAATTATTACTTGCAAATATTGTGCATCTAAAAATAATTAATAATATGTAGATATAAATATATATAGTTATACTACAATGAGTTTTCGAGAATTTAAAGCTTTTAAATGTTATTAATCACCTTATAAAACCAGGTACACTTAAAATATCTAATCTCCCTAATCCACCTATAAAGATCGTTTCTTCGGGCCAAATACAAAATGTCTTTGGAGATATAATTCTATTAGGTAGTGTATTAAAAAGCTCGTTTGTTGTTAAAAATTGTAAAATTTGATCTGGTTGGTTGACCCCAGGAGTATCATAGCACCAACGGCTAAATTGATAATCTTTTGATGTCTCGTCTAGTCCAATTTTATTTTTATTATTTAAATAAATAATATCACCATCTGGTTCGTTCTCTAGAGCTTTTCCAAAATCATAATTTCTTTTGAAAGTATGATTTATACGATCTACAAGCAGTTTAGTTGATAAATTGTAAGTAAATAAAAATAATTCAATTAAAGGAGAATGCAAAGCTGTATACTCTGAAGTGTAGCTAATTCAATATTTTTTGTTCTTCTAAATTCTTGATTTCTTAGATAAGCTTCTGCATGATTATATTTCTTTTCGTTCTGTAATCTTTTTAATCTCAAATATAGTCTCCATGAAGCAGGTTTTAAAATTGGAAATTTCAACATATTTAATGTTGTGCCTGGCCATTGAGAAGTTGTCGCACGTTGTACTATGTCTACAGCTTGTGATTTACAAAAATCAGACTGCAGAAGAGTATTGAAGAGGGTTGATTTTCCCGAATTTGTACAACCAATTAAATATACGTCACCTAAAATTATAAAAATTAAAAATCTGTTGTTAAGCCTGTTGTTTATTTTCTATTTATTAATTTATATAAGAACTGTAACTGTAATAAATCAATTTATATTTAATATAACTAAGCAATTAATATTTTTTTTAATAATAACCTAATAATATAACTAAAATAATTTATAATTACTTTTATATTTCCATAAACTATGTAATTTATTTATTAAGTTTTCTACACCATATCCACTCTTTGCTGATATTAGAGCAATATGTTTAATATTTATTTTATTTACTCCAGTTTTAATTAATGATTCGGTCAAGCAGTCCGTTACGTTCTCTAAAAAATATGGAGAATCCGTTGGCAATAAATCTACCTTATTACCCACAATGATAACAGACCGTTTTTTGCCTAAAAGTAATGGTAAATGTGGCCAAATACTACATGGAAAGTCGGTAAGATCTATTAACAATAATATCCAAGCTTTTGGATTATCATTTATTTGCTCTAATAATTTTGGATATTCGTCTGCAGAGACTCTGACATCTAAGCATGTATCATAATATTTCATAAAATGGCATCTCTGGCAAATAATGGATTGTAAATCAGAGTTACTTTTATTTAAAAACAATTCCGAAGGCAAGTAGCCTGGAAGTGCAACATCTTTACAATGTAATAATGAACCACAACCACCGCAAGGAATGGAGCTTACTTCGGTATCTACATCTGGAGTTCCATATATTACATCCCCTAAGTCTTCCTCCAATATATCGTCATAAAATTCATAATCAGTCATCCAATTTTTCGACACTTTTGAGAAATCATCTTCTAATCGTATTCTGAATTTACTATCCATAATTTCATTATTAATAACCTCACTTGACTTTGAATATTCTAAATACTTTTCATATAAAATCCTATATTTTTCATTTATTTCTGGCATTACATCGTTGCTTATATGATTAAACTTTTCATATTGAGGCACTTTTTTATATTTATCAATGGCTGCATATGGCATGTTAATTGGCTTTGCATCTTGTTCCAATTCGTCTTTCTCATCCAAGCTACAATTTTCAGACTGTACATATATTTTTTCTTGATCATTATCTAAATATTTCAAAGCAATACTTAATGGCTTATTATTTAAATTTAATTCCCTTTTTTCATATTCAAATTTCTGTTTTAATTTTACTTTTATTTCTATATTTTTCTTGTATCCTAATTTCAATCTTTTACTCTCAATATAATCACTATATAATAATTTGTCTTTTAATTTTCTAACTTTAAGATCTAATAAGTCATCTAAATCAGTTGTCTTCAATTTAACCATTTCATCAATAACATAATAGTTTCTAATACATAACTTATATACATTCTTTATACGAGATAATTTTAGATAACAATGCTGCATTTTTAAATTATATTCGTTTCTTTACTGGCACATGAAAAGAATCTAAACAAAAAATTTTTAATTTTAGGTATTACAAAATACAACAATTAAATACATTTTTTATTAATATGAGAATCTTAAATGGAAACTTTTCTTATTCAATAAAATACTATTATATTAGAAAGCACATGGTGTTTCGGTTATAATATTACTTTATCAAATGCAAAGCAAGTGTTAAATATATACTTAGGCCAATTATTTTTGTAGTAAACTGTATGTTTCATGTATTTGCATTATATTAAATGCATGTGAATTCACTAGTATATTTAGGAAAATTGCTATTATAATGCTAATGTGATTATTCAAGTGATTACTACTTTATTGATTTTAAAAACATTCTTCTCTAATTTATGTTACCGCTAAATGAGGTTATGTTACACACATGCACTTCTTTCTACATATTATGTTCTATATTTCATAGATTAAGTATACATTCGGATTTTCAAATTCAAGTTCAGTGTATCTTGGCATTAAATAATAATAAAACTGTAATGGTTATATACTACATTGATATGCACATATATATATAATTTTTTTTTTTTATAAATACTATATATTTAATGGCTATATACTCAATGATAATTAAGAAATTAAATAAAATACTAAGATTCAAGATTAAAATTTCGCTACTGCCGTTAAAAAATAATATATAATGTCTAAAATCATTATATATAATAAGCCTAGAATTTTTCAAAAAAAATAAAAATTTATTTCGATCGAAAAATTTTATCTGAATTTAGTAAAAATTACATTTTATAAAGTGTTTTCCAAAATCTTAATTTTATTACATAAATTTTTAATTTTCTATACATTATTAGTTGTTAAATTTTTATTCATATTTAAATATTAAAATATTTTATAATTACTTTCTGACAATAAAGGGAAAACGAGGATTTTACGGAATAACGATAAAATAATTTATTTAAACTAAAACATAAATTTTTATTTTATCAAAGTGTATAGATTATCGCATATGAGATTGATATTAGAAATGATAAAAAAGAATGAGTAAAATAAATTAGACGAGTAATTTTTCATTATAAAAAGTAGTTTCGGAGAAAAGAACGACAGGCAGTCAATAGGTACTATTACTGCTTTTTTATTCAATATCTTATTTTTTTCTATTATCCTATTATTCTATGTTTCGTGATAGGATCTCCTCGATTGTTACCATGTGATGTTCGAGAACAGCAAAGTAATCGTCAGTCACACTTATCAACATTTTCGATACATAAAATCGAGATAGGAACATCCTTGTTATTTCATTGGAAATGGAAGTGTTGCTCAGAATTTCAAGTATGCAAATTAATGACTCACTAACAAGATAATTAGCCAAACAAGCTCCAAATTTTAATTTTTAATTTTTAAATTCAGCAGTATATGAACAAATTATTGTTCAATTAAATGTCTCACTACAAAGAAAATTTAATACGTGACAACAATTGGCTAAATTAGCTTGAATAAGAATTTTATAAAATATAAAATTTTATAAAAAACATATCTTAACTGTTTAATACTTCATTTGGATCTTATTGCTCGTGTTAACTACCCATTTATTAATATTACGATGAACACTAATCTAAAGTATTTTATTTCAACATGCACAATATTCAACGAGATTAATATTCATCATCATTATTGACGTGTTAATTATTTGAAAGAGACTGAGAGCAAATGTGTATATAACATTTAACCAAAATGATAAATGTGATAAAATTATCTCTTATGATAATTGTTTAAAAATACATCGATAATTTGCGATAATTCGAGGCCATTTTAATATTTCATTTAACAACTTTAAGCATAAGTTAAACTAATCTAAATGATGAATTAATTATATCCCAATAAAATTATTAAACATTGAATAATTAATCATTTGTAACTACGAATATTTATATTCTGTTGTCTATTTAATTTATACGAAATATCGATGCTATGTATTACAACTTTTTACAATTCTCTACAAATTGATAACACATATTTTAAAAATTACAAATAATTTCCCTTGCAATACATAATAATAATCAACCATCTATCTAATTACTCGAATAAATAAAAGATATTTTTATCATATCGTCGATTCGATAAAAAATAACTAAAATTATTATTTATATTTTGATCGTATATTTTAGTAAAACAACAATGCTTTATGTATCACTTTGTAACGCAAAGTAAAAATTTCGTCATTTGTTTACCACTTCCATATATCACCAACACATTTTGACCTTCTGATCGTTCGTAAGAATATCTGTAATAATTGAATAAGTGGAGATAAAAACTGCGGTGGTCGTGTACCGGATAGCAAATTTTTATTTATTTACTTGCTTCTGATGAAATACATAAATGGCTCCATAAGATATTTAGATTATTCATACCGATTACGAGCATATAGTTATACGATGTTGCTACGTACTCATCTAGCAAATGAAATAATTCAATTAAATATTGTAATAAACTTGTATATTGAATTTTTAAATATTTATCTTATCGCTCTTTTTGAATCGCTCAATTCGGTTAAAGAGTTGTGAAAAAATGATTTATTTCGTGAAATACTTTCTTTTTCATTAATACTTAATACTTTATCGAAATATTATGAGATTTTATTATTATTATTATTATTATTATTATTATTATTATTATTATTATTATTATTATTATTATTATTATTATTACTATTTATTTCGAAGAAGCATCGTATTCTTTTCGTAATTTCTTAAACTAAAAATAGTAATATAACTTTAAATTTCAAAATTAACGACTAAATTTTTTGATTCTAAGTATTTCATATTACCAACCAATTTCTTCCATTCTTATTATATGTTTTTTTATTTAAATTATAATTTTGCTTTATTTTAAGCTATTAAAATTTTGTTAGAAAAAAATTACAATTGGCCAACGAGAGTATTTAATATTCATCCAACAATACGATTTCAAATAAGCAAATAACAAAAGAAGCTATGTATAGTAAATCTATTATTTTTCAATAATTAATTGTGTATGAAAAAAAATTTTATGAAAATGTTTCGAATAATACATTCGAGTAATATATATATTAATTTTTAATTAATAAATTGGAATAAATATATAATATAGATATTATAATATTATCAATATTATCTGCTTAAATTTCTTTAAATCTTTTTTATTCTAATGCGTATATCAAAAAAATAATAACAAAATTTTTATATAAACAACTTTTTTATTTATACACTCGAATTATATAAATTGTTTTAAACATATACGAGTTGTGTTGATAGTGATATTCTTAAATTTTGTATTTGATCAATTATTTATTTAATAAATGATTGAACTATAATGCTGTAATTAACAATTAGATTATTATACTACAATTAAATATTATGTATGAACAACTATTTTAATAGATAAATTAAATTGAGTGAGTACTATCTAATGATGAAACAGTAATGAAGCTAAGTTATAGTAAAATATTTGAATAAACGATTTAAACAAAATAAAACTCAAAATTATTATCGAAGCGTTATAATGCTTGATGAAATAATAATAATAATAATAATAATAATAATAATAATAATCATAATAATAATAATAGTGATAATAGTGATTGATATACGCTGCTTATGTCGAATAAATAAATACTCTTAATATTTAATAAATTTGATAATAATAAAATGACAACAAATTTTAGTAACATCTAGTTATTTTATTTATTTATTTATTTATTTATTTATTTATTATTATTGTAATTATTATTTAACATGTAACATGAAACTTATATATTGATATATTGATATTTTCTTTGAATTTTAAGGTAAATATAAATATAATAAGTATAAATATATAGTATAAATAAATGTTATTCAAGCATATCAATCTGAGAATTATAGTTAAAATTAAATCTATAAAAACAATTGACTTTATATATATATATATATATATATATATATATAATGAAGGTTTAACTATTTAATCGTCTAAAATATTATAGGATAAAAATACGAATAAATGTGTTATAATGCATATACGTTTGACTAATGAGTTTGAATGTGCAAATGAAAGGAAGATAATCGAACAACAGCGCTTATTGAAATTGCAGTTTGTCAATTCGGTTTTATTCCTAACGTAAGAATGAATTTGAAAACAAGCGATGAACAGTCGGTCTTTGGCCAGCAGGAAAGAAAAAGCCCGACGTGTTCATGCCTGTTTTTAACATAACTAAAATGATGGGAGTAAAAAGTACAAAGAAATTTTGTGAGACTAGTGAATCGCGTGACAACGCGTTTGGCTCATTTAATCGTCTGTAGTGAGTGAGCAGTGGCAGTGGCACGCCTTCTCCACCGTAACTACGTAGATATCAAACTATTGCGTAGTTCGTTGCCAGCCAGCTGACAGAAATTGGTGGAAAAAAGAGGGAACGAGAGAAAGGACAGCCGTGGGAAAGGGATAGAGGAATAGTGGGGCTAAAGCCAAAAGTCGTTTGGCCGATTGGCTCGACGCGATATTCGCGAGGGTCGAATTTACGGTATCCTCCGCCTGCTGCACGTATATGTATATTCCCTCCTTACGCGCACGCACTCGCTTGGCCACCCACACGCAGGAGCGCACGTGCCGTAAAGTTTTACAGGGTTTTTAATACGCGCGAGATGATGCAATAAGCCGTGCTTCCAACGGCCTAAGCGTGTTTTTTCCTTCCTTAGCATTCGTGCTCGAAATGGCCACGATATAGTAAATTCTAATGCTAACTGATTCTGATAATTTTATTTCAATTTCATACCTTTGCTCTATTTATCATTATCGAAGCTAAAAAAATAATTGAACTTTTAATTATTTTAGTCATACTAGCAGGTCAAACAAAATTATCGTCACTAATGCTATACATAATTCTCAGAAATATGAAACAATGAATATGAGATTTTGTAAATTATTTTGGAGCTCTTGTTGATAAAATACGTTATTTATTGTCGGGCGAATCGTATTGTATCGCCTATTAAGAAAAGAATTATAATACATATTTTACC